GAGCCTTTAAATGGTCTCTCAGTCTGGTTCAGTAGGTTACACAATCATGGGGAAGACTGCTGACTTGACAGTTGTCCAGAAGTCATTGACACCCTCCACAAAAAGGGTAAGTTACAAAAAGTAATTGCTAAAGAAGCTGGCTGTTCACAGAGTGCTGTATGTGAGCATAATAATGAGTTGAGTGGAAGGTAAAAGTGTGGTAGAAAAAGGTGCACAAGCAACAGGGATAACTACAGCCTTGAGAGGATTGTGAAGCAAAGGCCATTCAAGAATTTGGGGGAGATTCACAAGGAGTGGACTACGGCTGGTGTCAGTGCTTCAAGAGCCGCCACACACAGAAGTATCCAGGACATGGGCTACAACTGTCGCATTCTTTGTGTCAAGCCACTCCTGAACCACAGACAACGTCATAAGTGTCTTACCTGGGCTAAGGAGAAAAAGGACTGGACTGTTGCTCAGTGGTCCAAAGTCCTCTTTTTAGGTGAGAGTAAATTTTGCATTTCATTTGAAAATCAAGGTCCCAGAGTCTTGAGGAACAGTGGAGAGGCACAGAATTCAAGTTACTTGGGGTCCAGTGTGAAGTTTCCACAGTCCATGAAGATTTGGGGAGCCATGTCATCTGCTGGTGTTGGTCCACTGTGTTTTATCAAATCCAAAGTCAGGAAATTCTAGTGCAAGTCATGCTTCCCTCTGCTGATCAGCTTAATGAAGATGCTGATTTCATTTTCCAGCAGGACTTGGCACCTGCCCACACTACCAAAAGTACCAATACCTGGTTTAAATGATCATGGTATCACTGTGCTTGACTGGCCAGCAAACCCGCCTGACCTAAACCACATAGAGAATCTGTGGTGTATTTTCGAGAGGAAGATGAGAGACACCAGACCCAACAATTCAGATGAGCTGAAGGCTGCTATCAGAGCAACCTGGGCTTCCATAACACCTTAGCAGTACTACAAGCTGATCGCCTCCATGCCACGCCACATTGATGCAGTAATTCAAGCAAAAGGAGCCCCAACCAAATATTGAGTGCACACTATACTGTACATGGACATACTTTTCAGTAAGCCAACATTTTGGTATTAAAAATCCTTTTTTTATTGGTCTTATGAAATATTCTACTTTTCTGATATACTGAATTTTGGGTTTTCACTGGCTGTAAGCCATAATCAAAAATAAAAGAAATAAATGCTTGAAATATTTCACTGAGTGTGTAATGAATCTATATATTATATGAGTTTAATTTTTTGAATTGCATCACTGAAATAAATTAACTTTTTGATGATAATTCTAATTTATTGGGATGCAACTGTATATGCAGGTTGGATGCATTTTAAACTGTGAATAGAAAGAACATAGTTTCCTATTGTGCCTGTTCACATATGTCCAGTGCACTGATAGTGCAGATTGAAAAAGAGCCCTGTATGATTTCTGAGCAGTGCAGTCCGGTTCAGATGCAGATTACAGGCTATTGACTTCTATGGGAACCGTTTCTAAACTGCATGTCATCAGTTGTGAACAGGATAAAATCCTGACCTGAACCTGATCTATACCTGTGCTGAACTAATGTAAACCTGACCTGAACTGCTGAACAACTACTTTATCAATAAGCTGTGAAACCTGAGCTTCAATCCGCACCACACATGTGTGAATCAGCACTAACAGTTCACCTATCAAGTTAAGTAAACAGCGGAGGAAAGTGGATTGAGGGCGCTCATTCATCTTTACATTTTTTTCTGAAAGATGAACTAAGCAGTTGCTTAGACTACAAGTCTGAGGAGCTAGAGTGCATGTTCTTTGATTTACAGTCACAAATATGCCCCCAAAATGTAAGTACTTGCTGTATTTTTGAGGGGGCTGCATTGCACATCTGGTCTCAGGATTTGCCGAACCTGAGGCAAAGAACTGCAGCACATTTCACATTGCTATAGCTTTCAGTTGTTACCTCATACAAAAGTGGTTATTTTAGACATGGTATTTGCTGTTGAGCTAAATTATCAACCAATATCACATATAAACGATGGATTTTGAAGATTCTCCAGGCATCAATTTCTCTTAATTAAGGTGGAGATCAGTGCAAGAGGTGAGCATTTTCTTTGCAGGGGATACTTTAGTTCACCTTTTTGTTTTAAAATACTAACGTTTCACAGGCTGTGCTTGTGACCCTCTTCTCCCTCCCTTTCAACATAAACAGGAGGAAAGGTAACGAGACACCATGGGGTTTATTTACTAAAGCTAGAGAGTGCAAAATCAGACACGCTTCTGCATAGAAACCAATCAGCTTCTAACCTCAGCTTGTTCAGTTAAGGTTTGGCAATGAAACCTGGAAGCGGACTGGTTTCTTTGCAGAAGTGAGCCTGATTTTGCACTCTGCAGCTTTGGTAAAATCCCATGTGTCTAGGACCTTACATTTTAAACAGCAGTGCTATTTTAAAACAGAAATTTTAGAAGTCTACTTCTACAAAACCAGTATCCCTGCATTAGGCAGACAAAACTGCAGATGGGTAGGAGGTCTTTCCTGTCGCATTATCTCTTTTAAATGGTGTTTTATCACAACAAACCTGTCAATTTCAGAAGATGCTCCAATATATTATGTTTAAACCAACGTGATATAATGTATACGAAGTTACTAATCCAAATCAATCAGCCCCTTTATAACAGACCTATACCAAAACGATAATATTTTGGTCAAGCAATCTCTCCTGAAGGGAAAAATCAGATTACAGACTGGCAAAATATACTTTTTTTTTACAGGGATTACAAGACCAAATGTCTATGCTTTCAGTCACATGAGCAGCAAAGAAGAGAGATTGGATCAACATTTTCTTTAGGAATGGAAGAATCTCATTTCTTACATTTACTCTTTGATCTTTAAAGTGGTTGTAAAGGCTGTACAATAATAATAATAAATAATAATAAAGGCTCAAAGTTTTTTACCTTCATGCATGCTATGTATAAAGGTAAAAAACCTTCAGTGTGCAGCAGCCCCCCTTAATACTTAACTGAGCTTCGTCGTGATCCAGCAATGTGCATATGAGCCTCGGTTCCCCGGGGGCTCTCCCTCCTTATTGGCTCCCACTGCTGCCAATCGCAGCCAGTGACCTAGTGAGGAGAGAGAGGGAGCGGGGCCAAGCCACAGCTATGCATGTGAATTGACATGGAGAACAACGGCTTGGGAGTGAGCCTGCTTGGTTGGCCCAATAGCAAGCTGCTTGATCTGGGGTCACTCGGCAGGGAGGAGGGGCCAGGAGCACCAGCAGAGGACCCGAGAAGACGAGAATCGGGGCTGCGCTGTGCAAAACCACTGCACAGAGTAGGCAAGTATAACTTTTTTTTTTTTTTTTTTTTTAATTGCCTTTACTATCACTTTAAGTTACCATCAGAATATACGTATGCCTTGAATGAAACAAAACCTTGTCAGGAAGTAAAAACACAAGTCATACCAGTAGCTGTAGAGAAGTTGAGTTTATTAATGGTAAAGCAGATCCGAGCAGACGGTGCTCACACAAGAACACGAGGGAAAGGTGGGAGTGAATAGAAGTCTCCACACTCGCTAGACCCTGCTACAGGAAGGATCGCCTGAAGGGTACCTTACCACCTGCTATTTCTCTTACCAGTCAGAGAGAACTGGCTACTTCCAGGAGAATCAAACTGTGGACAAGACGTCCGGCCCCGAACAGTGTGTAACATGTATGTTCCATGTATGTAGTGCTGAGGGCACCAGAAGTTACCCGTGGCATACAACAATACGCACTCACACTTATAGGGGGATCTCTATGACAATTCTGCTTAGAAGAACCATTCCTACTTCCTTCTAGATTGACACTTGAGGAAACTCTTGCTCTTTCACGTCATGTTTCTACCCTATCACTTGTATATCTTGCTCACTCATAAACCTCCTAGTTCTCCCACTGCTAGTGTGCAATGCTCTTCAAGATGCTAAGTAATGAAGAGGACAGAACAGTTCATGTTCATATTTTGTGCTATGAGCTTTAGCTCCTCTACCCAGCATTGCAACTTGATCCAATACTTCTGTCACCTCTCTCTAGATGGAAGGGACTTCCCCAAGAGGCAGAGTAAAAAGGAAAGGGGGAAAAAATGAAATTAAAAAAAAAAAAAAAAAAAAAAACCTACAGCTGCAGTCTAGCTGCAAGAACGTTGAGGCTGTACAGCCAGCCTCATCTTGCCCCTAAGTGCCCCACATTAAAAGCACCTCCCCAACTATCCCAGCACCCATCCTGCAACAAACAGCTTTAGGGGACATTGAGCGTGCACGCGCACACACACACACGCACACACACAAACACACATGACAATTAAGCAGGCAGGGAAAGACAGACACCAAAAGTAGATTAAGGACACTCAATGGGGACAAGCAAGCATCCATAACTGTGGCATAGACACTCAACCCCTCACCCATTTCCCACAGAGGGGAAAGAAAAATTAAAGCCACCCAGTCAATCACACCTCCCTCAGCCAGCACAAGCTGGTGGATGAGAGGGGACCAGATCCTCTGCCTTCTCTGATGGAGAGAGTTCCTGACATTCGACTGAAAATTGGATATGGGGGTGTTCTTTGTGCACCCGCTACTAAGAAATAAAGATCCTGAAGGGAGGGTTCTTCCTGTATTCCCTCGCCTGCCTTCACTGCTGGGGAATATTTGCTCTCCGTGTGTTAGGCAGAGGTTTGGGGGGTGCTGTGAGAGGCATGCACAAATAACGAGAAGGATGGGGGCACGATACCCCATTTTCCCCAAACTCAAGAAGTCCCAAACTTCCTCTGGATGGGAACTTCCTGCTGTGTCCGTCAGGTAACTGTCGCCTGCGGGGCAGGGGGGTTTCAGATTTGGTGGGATATGCTGGACGCTCCCCCACACGCACTCCCCCCCAGATCGGTGAGGGGGGAGAGAGGGCTGCCCTCCTCAGGGCTCAGGACATTATCTTGTCCTGTGCTGCTAACCCGTCATGCCATAAGTCGCTGGGTTCGTCTCCCCTTCTCTCTCAGTGTGGAGGGTTCAAGGATCCCTGCCCTCTCTGCTGCTTTTCCTTTTGCTGCATCAGGAGCTGCTCAAGGGCTGACGGGCCAGGGTGCATCATTGTGGTTGACCAGATGGACTGGGGAGTAGAAAAACAAAAAACAAATATAATTTTAAACTAATAAAGTAGCATAAATAAACAATCAAAACCTACAATCACAAATAAAAAATGCTTGTGCCCATAACAAAACCTTGCAGTCTCAAGCTATAATCTTTGTAGTATACTTGGGAATTAAACATAATCTTAGGCCTCATGCACACAGTAATAACAAAGACTTTTACAGGCATCCAACATTGGTTATGCCTTTGTGTATGTCTAAAACAACAAACACCTGTGAAAGTGTGTAATTGCACACCAAAATTCACATTTTTATGCTATCTCCTGGCAGAAAGATCCAGGAGTATTTAATACACCCATGTGCAAGAAGCCTCAAAGTAGTTGTTACAGTTTAAGATGGACCGGTCATTAAAATGTACTCTTCACATGAATTAATACAGCACATGGCAGCATCACTAAATCACATGATCTTGGGTGACGTGTACCTCTTGCCATGAATAAAAAAAAATTCTGCTCCTAAGCTCCCTTATGTAATCTAGAGTCTAGGCAGACTGGACGACCAGGTCTTTGGCTACTAGGTGAATTGTAGGTGTATTACAACATTAAAGACTTACAATCACAATGTCACACCATCTTTCTGAGAACTCAGAGGACCAGTAAATAACAATATTAAACTGCCAAGCAGGAAGCAGAACCGGAGTATGCAACAGGCAAAAAAAGCTTATAAAGACTAGAATCTACAGTTATGTTAAAAATAATAGCAGTGTGTTTAAAAAGTGAGCAATGTTCAAAATCCTTATAATAGCTTTTATTTTCATACACGCAAATGGATTGGGAACACTGCACAGTCTATTCCAAATCAAAACGAAGAAAAATGTTTTAAATTTGTTATGTTACAGAAAGTGAAGAAAAAGGAATATTAGGATGATCAAAAAAATAGCAGTGTCTGTATTCTTCTTTACAAACTTAAACATTTACTGTATAGACTGAAGGTCATTGTAGCCGTGTATCAGTATATATATATATATATATATATATATATATATATATATATATATATTATACAGTATATATTAGTACTGCTTGGACCTTGAAGAAGGGGACATACCCCGAAAGCTTGTCCTCAAAATTGTATGTTAGTGCAAATAAAAAAAAGTATCACGAACAGTACTCAATTGTTTCTGTATAAACTGAAAAATGCTTGAAAATTGAGCTTTCCTGTGAATCACTGACTATTTAGTTGAATAACCACTGTTTCAGAGAACTGTTTCGCATCTGTGTTGCATGGAGTCCACCAACTTCTGGCACCTGTGAACAGGTATTCCAGCCCAGGACGATGGCACTACATTCCACAATTCTTCTGCATTTCTTGGTTTTACCGAAGAAACAGCATTTTTGATGTCACCCCAGAAGTTTTCGATTGGATTAAGATCCGGGGATTGGGCTGGCCACTCCATAACGCTAATCTTGTTTGTCTGGAACCAAAATGCTGCTCACTTACTGCTGTGTTTGGGGTCGTTGTCTTGTTGAAACACCCATTTTCAGGGGCATTTCCTCTTCGGCTTAAGGCAACATGACCTCTTCAAGTATTTTGATGTATTGAAACTGATCCATGATCCCTGGTATGCAACAAATAGGCCCAACACCATAGTATGAGCAACATCCCCATATCATGGTGCTTGCGCCACCATGCTTCACGGTCTTCACAGTGTACTGTGGCTTGAATTCAGTGTTCAGAGGTCGTCTGACAAACTGTCTACGGCCCCTAGACCCAAAAAGAACAATCTTGCATTCATCAGTTCACAAAATGTTGAGCCACTTCTCTTCAGGCCAGTAAATGTACTCTTTGGCAAACTAACCTCTTCAGCACATGCCATTTTTTAAGCAATGGGACTTTGCGGGGGCTTCACATAGGAGTCTTCTAATTATTACAGTACTCACAGGTAACCTTCTTAGACCTTCTTTGATCACCCTGGAGCTGATAATTGGCCGAGTCTTTGCCAATCTGGCTATTCTTTGATCCATTCGAATGGTAGTTTTCCGTTTTCTTCTACGTCTTTCTAGTTTTGGTTGCCATTTTAAAGCATTTGAGATTATTTTAGCTGAGCAGCTTATCAGGTTCTGCACCTCTTTATATGTTTTCCTATCTCCAATCAGCTTTTTAATCAAACTATGCTGTTCTGAACAATGTCTGGAATTACCCATTTTACTCAGATTTTCAGGGAGAAATGCACTATACCCAGCATGTACACCTGTTTTTTTCATAGACTGAATGACCTACTAATTTAACTCCACACTGCTATTATTTTGAACGCACCCATTTCAATTAATTATTCAATTACACAGAATCAGCAGCATGCATGTCATGACTGTTGGGTCTGTTGGTTTTATATTACTCTACTACACCTGCTAGTAAATTATTTGCCATGTAGAAATATAAATTTATTCCCAAAACAAGGATTGATCTGGTTAGTGATGTTGGACTGCTATTATTTTGGACACAACTGTACCTCTCAGCATTTACATTATATAAAAACAAATAAAACAAACTATAACTATCCTTTCAGCATTTTTATGCTTTTTTACACAGCGATGACTACCATCAAACTAAAAAGAGTATCAATATGAAAATTCAATAAAGAAAATAGTCAAAACAAGGAAAAAGAGGCTATTAGTTTCAGCGACTTTGAAAAGCTGGCTTGGATATTATATGATGTCCTTCAAAGGGTTCTGCTGAAACCATTTTAAGCCTTTTTTTTTTTTTTCTTAAACAGGAAAGAGATACCAAAGGAACCCTGAGGAAATATAATTGCAACACTACTCAGGGAACCCCCCTTCCAAATTTACCCCTTTTTTGGTTTAGAAGATTATTCTTGTTTACAATTGTGTCAACAAGACCAGATATGAGAGGAAATCTCTTAGAAGGACATTTAAAAAAAAAAAAAAAAGGCAAGCAAAAGAATTAAGAATTTTTCTGAAAGGACACACCCTTGGATGCTTCTCCTATAAACCTACCAAGCACTGCGAGCCCTCAGTTTTGTAACAAGCAATACAGGGTAAGGAATGGAAGAAGTTGTGGGTTGTATCCTGTACTCCAAAATATGCAGTTTACATGTATGTCAAATTCATAGACCCTGGGTTATAAGACTGTACCTTCAGGTGGTTGGACACTGGCAAGGCTTTTGAGAATATGACCCCAGGGCACCTCCCTATAACCCTATCCCGCTCAGTCCTCAGTTTTTTACTACTGTAGTGTCTTCTTCCTTACAAAGAAAGTACTCTTGGCCCAATTTATTATGTAATCTTTGAATTCTTCAACCAAAGCTTCATCAACTCTTCAACTAATACAACAATGGAAGCAGTGATCCGGATTGGCACAACCTTGGTAAAACATTGTGAGCCCTACCCTGACGTCCCCAAAAAATGAATGAGAAGGGTGGGCAAAAACTAGGCAAAACAGAACTGTGCCAACAGGCTCAACAACAAGAAGGGTCTATAGATCCAAACCAGGGTGCCGCTAAAAGAACCTTACAGATGAAGGCTGCATCTGCAGAAGATTGGACATCCACCTTGAAGAACTTTAAAAAGGTACAAACAGCAGACCAGGTAGCTGCCTTACAAGGCTGGGCTACAGATGTCTTGTACTGGAATTTTGATCTACATGTAGATATAGTGGTAAAGATACTGGAATGCCCAGGAAACTCCCACCAACTCTGGTGGAATGGGCACATAAAATCACAGGAGGAGAATTGACCTTGAGAGTGTGAGCTCTAGCGATCAGATTTATTATCCATCTTGTGATGGTGGACTTGGAAGCAGGGTGGTCCTGAGGGCAGGACAAAGAGAAATAGTCTTCCTGATCAAAGCTGCTGCCTTGAGATAGACTTATAGCTCCAACTACAATCAGGCAGTGAAGTGAAATTTCCTTTGGGTGCTTTGAGGCAGGGAACAAGGAAGGACAATGTCTTCATTGAGGTGGAAGACTGATACTACTTTAGGAAGAAAGGATGGCTTCAGGAAAGAATACTTTAAAGAGAGCCACCAACTGAAAGACATGTCTGACAGATGTGATAGCAAACTTTTTGGCCACTTTGCAGGAGGTGCCATCTAAGGGGATATCCCTGATGGGTTCAAAGGGTGGTTTCTGTAAGGAAGAGAAAACCAAGTTAAGATCCCAAGGAACACAGGGTGCTGCATGCCTTTAAAACCAGAGACTGAGAAGCAGGATAGAACAGAAGGACCTAGGACAGCAGGTCTGGCCTGTTGGGAGGAGGGCAGGGGTCATCTAGTAGTCTGAGTAAGTTGGTTTACCAGGCTTTTTCTCTTGCTCTATCTTGTGGAGCAGATGAAGTAGAATTTGCACTAAGGGGGTAGCCAGTGCTAAAAGTCTTGGGCCTGGCCACAAACAGGCAGTATGTTGTTGAATTTGGAGAGGCCAGGATGTCAATATGCAAGATCTCCATCTTTGACATATGTTGAAGATGTCTGGGTGAAATGCCCATTCCCTCTAATCCAGGCTGTGGAAACTGAGGTAATCTGCTTTCCAGTTATTCACTCCGCTGTCCAATCCCCTTAACCTTCTGCAGAATATCAGTCTGTCCCTGATGTTTTTCCTGGAGAGAAGTGGCTTCTTTGCTGCCCTTCATGACACCAGGCCATCCTCCAAATGTCTTTGCCTCACTGTACGTGCAGATGCACGCACACCTGCCTGCTGCTATTCCCGAGCAAGCTCTGCAAAGGTGGTGCCCCGATCCCGTAGCTGAATCAACTTTACAAGACGGTCCTGGCACTTACTGGACTTTATTGGGCACCCTAAAGCCTCCTTTAAAACAACTGAACCTCTGTTCTTGAAGTTCACGATGATCCAATAAATGGTTGATTTAGGTGCAATATTAGTAGCAGCAATATCCTGTTGATTCCCTTTTTGTGCAAATCAATGATGACTGCACGTGTTTCCTTGCAGGCAAATTAATGTGTGTGTCATTCTTAAAGCTTGTGGCCAAGGCTGTAGGTCCAGGGTAAGACAAGTACCCCCGCTAGCCTTTGGTAACCGGTTTGAAGAGAATCCTCTGAACCTGTCCTATAGGTGTACTGGCACAATTACTCCCTGGACAAGAGATGGCTCAGGGCATTCTGTAAATGTTACTGTCCTTTGGCAGATTTTGGTTGATTTAAGAGAAGAAAGCGTTGAAGAGGTAGAGTTTTGAACTCTATTTTGTACCCCTTTGAAACCACCAATTGAATCCACAGGTCTGGGACATCTGTGACCCAGAGTGAAGAAAACTGCAATAAAAGTCTCACCGTCTTGAAGAGTGAGGGATGAGGGCTTTGGGAAAGACTCTGTGGGTTTTGTGGCCCAAGTCTTAGGCTGAAAGAAGGTGCTGAGCTTACGGTTAGATTTTTAAACCTGATAAAGCAGTGAGATGCTGTGTGTTTTTAAAAGGTAAAAGGGGAAGGGGGGGGAGGTATGGGAGGTTGAATTTTACATGGTTGGGAAGAATTTTCCCTCTTCTCTCTGACATCTTTGATGAATTTGCCAAGTGCCTCACCAAAGAGACATCAATTGGCACACATATGAAGTGTCTTTTTACAGACAGCTTTAGGTGACCAGGCTTTGAGCCTCAAGATTATGCATGTGTGAATGTAGATTGGAGCCATTGAAATTGTTCTGCTGTTTTGTGGATGCCCCAGAACTAGTAATGACCCACATTTTTAGACAGATAGTAATTGCTCAGCTAAAGCACGGCCCTGAAATACAGGATTGCATTGGTTGTTCATTGCACTAGTCCAGTTAGCTGCAGTTTGACAAACTGCAGTGATACTTAGTTGCAATGCTGGGTCTGCAAAGTGTAAAGAGAGCCTTTAAGAGTATCTCAAACCTCCTATCTGCAGAAACTTTATATGAAGCAACATGCTTGAGACTGAAAGGACAGGATCAACTACCATAATAGATGACTTTTTAGTGAACTTTTTCCACTGGACAGAGCTCTACAATGATTTTCAGAGAGGAGTGAGCATCTTTTCTGGATTGATTCAACTGTCATAAATTGCCCATACAATGTTTCATGCAAAGGGGATGTCTTTAGATTTAGAAGGTCTCTTTTTTTACACAGAGATATAGCAAGACATAGGATTAAGCTTGGCTTTTGTGCACAGCATATCCATACCGGCATATTGCATGAAGCTGCAAGCTCAGGCGTATAAGAGGCAGAAGAGGCTCTAACACTACCTCCGGGTTCTCTTTATTCCCTCTTTTATCTCCACCTCTCCTAGGCAGGGCATATTGGGATGCAAAGGATTCTGGTGTTTTGGAGCCCTAGACAGTGATGAATGCATTAAAGCAGCTGGCTGTCTGAGAAATTGTGACACAGATGCGGAAAAACTGGCCTTAGTCAGGTAGGCAGCTTAATGCATGCTATAAATAGAATTAGAATCAAATGCAGAGACCAGAGTTAAAATCAGATGCTGCTCCAAGGGAAAAGGCTCTAAAGAAAGCAACATCACTCTAAGGCTGAGTGTTGTGCAGGCCTTCGCCAGAGTGAATGTTTGTCTGAGTTTTTGCTGTGGCTCCCTTTCAGCTAGTCTCAACCATAGCCAACGGTGAGGGTATACGGAGTGTGGAATATAGGGTAGGCATATCCAAGAAACAATACGCAGCGAACTGGGTGCAGACTATCCTCTAGCGAAGACCTCATGGCAAAAAGGGTGGGAGAAAGTCCTGAGTACCTCAGAAGGGGTCTAGGCAGAAAATGCGGTAACGTGTGCAAGATGTGGTGTGATGCAACACCTGGTCATCCACATAAGACTATGTGTGGTTAGTTTTAGCACCAAGTTTGAAAAGTGTACACTGCAAAGTGAATACGTTTCAAACATAGAATTGTTTTTTTAGAATAACGGTCAAAGATACAGGGTGACCCTGCCTTACTGGTCCAATACACTGGTCCCTATATAGGGTCCAGGCTTCGACTGTCACAGTGGGCATACCCCTGAAGGGGTCCTAAGGGTCAGTGTTCCATAGGGATGCACCACGACCCTGGACCAGCATAGAACCCTGCAGCTAACTATGCACGTTGCACAAAGTGCAGAGGTGACCCCCCCTGAAGGATCCAGTGCCTGAAGCAATATTACAGGCCATTACCACAGTGTGGGATCTTGGTACAGCTCCGAAAGTTTTACCAAGGTTGCAACAATCTGGATCACAGCTTCCATTGTTGTATTAGTAGGCAGTGAAGTGTTGACTGAAGCATTGAATGAAGAGTTAAAAGAAAAAATAATAAAGCAATTAAGCTAAGAGTAATTTGTACGGGAGATGAGAGCCATCACCTTAGGATATCAGCAAAAAAAAAACCCCAAAAAAAACCAGAAGACAGACAGCGTGGGGTAAGGTTATAGAGAGGTGCCCAGGGGCATGTCCTAAAAAGCTTTGCTAGTGTCCAATCATCTGAAGTTACGAGCCTACAACCCAGAGTCTATGAATATCAAGCCTGAGTCCTGTACTGAATGCTTATAAATATACCAGTGTGATGTAATTGCAGACCTAGCAAGTTTTGTATATAACCTATGGACTATGAACACAATTCCTGTACTGTTGGATTAATATAAGATTTATACAAAAAATTTACTAATACAACATCAAATAATATGTTTTGACATCTTGCATTTCTGAGATAGCTTGATAGCAACTTTCTTTACTTCACGTGCCTTAAAACGATAGCCAGGGTAAAAGAAATAGAAGACCTAGTCTAATCACATCTTCAGAGGCCCGTGCTCCTACTTCCACTGCCGTCCAGTGCTGCAGCCACTGTAACTCTCTTCAGCATTCAACACTTTGAGGAGTGCCTGGTGCTTGTGTCCCCTACACTGTACTGTGGTTCCATCCTCTGACCCCCTACATCACCACATACGGGTTAAAGGTTGAACCACCTCAAATTCTGGAGAGACTGCAGTGCTTAACAGAGAAATGGTAAAAGACAAAGCCCCCTGGAGTAGTGAGTATAGTAGCTCTATCACAAACTTTCCTATAGGCCCAACAGAATTTCTTTAAGGGGATGCTGGATGATGTTACATCATCTTGAACAGAAATAGTAGCAACTCTACTGCAATTTCAGCAGCAGTTCTACATCACTCTTAGCCCTCTCCAGGAAGTGAGGTGGAACCAGAAACATTGTTCAGGTCACCAGATATAAAGAGAGGCAAGTAAAAGGAGAATAGCACTGATATCATAGAAATGGGAACATGGAGGAGTGCACAATTTACTGTCCAAAAATGCTTTTTGCCTGGAGATCAACTTTAACTAACCTTCAAGCTTTCCATCAGGGCAGCAGATGAGTCCTCTCTTGCATTACCCTGGACTGCCCAGGCATTAGCACTGCTGGAATTATTTACTTGGCGCCAACTGTTCTCTGTGGATGGAGCCACAGATAGGTAGTCTAGTCCAAAGCCACCCATTGCTGGAAAACAAGGGTGAAGACACATTTAGCAAAGGTAACAACATAATTATCTTTCAACAGTGTGTCATAACGAACAGATATTTACCTGGTTTGTCGCTCTTCCACCGGTCAGCTGCTCTTCGATCTCGGCTGTCTGGGGTTCCAATAGGCCCAAAGTTGGAAAAGGGCTGGGAGGTGTGATTATGGGTGGGTGGAGAGCTGGGCAAGCTGCTTGGATTAGAGGAGTGAGGTGATTGGCTGGCTGGTGTAGAGTGATCTGTTGGAGAAAGGAATAAGCTATTTATTACGCAGCAACAAGTACTACATTTGTATTGCATTTTTAATTCCCTTGACCTCCCCTCAGATAATAAAATTGTGCTTTAAAGTGTTACTAAACCCAAGACCCTGCATTCACTATATCTGGTCTTCCACAGAACATAGAACATGGACACATGCAATTATTTTAGTATATATAAACTGCTAAACACCTTTTCTCATCAGCATTTAGAGCAGTCTTGTGACTTCAACTGAGCACTGGTTAAAGCTTGTTAAAGTTTTCTTTTCACATTAGGAGGATGCAAACCCCTGACCTCTGTCTGGACAGTGATGATTGGCCCTGTGCTGATCACATGCACTTTCCAAAAAAAAAAACCTCCTCTCTAGAAATACACACTAAACTGAGCATGTGCAGAAGGGCTACAGGTTCAGTCTGTCTTAGCAACGTGGACATTTGAACAAGAGGAGGGGCAGAGAAGTCAAGATCAAACAGCCTTTTTACACAATGCAGAGGATTAACCCCTTGGGTTCCACAGTGAGAACAAGCATGCTTTACTGCATATACAGACTGATTTTACTGTTGTGGGTTTAGTAACACTTTAAAGAGAAAACATTCATTAACAGGGCAACAAAAGCAAGCAATTGTCACAAAGAACAGTAATAAACTGTTAAACTCTGGCTGAAAAGAAAGGGGGTGATGTGCATAATGGTTTAGGCCAGGGGTCCTCAAACTTTTTAAACAGGGGGCCAGTTCACTGTTCCTCAGACCGTTGGAGGGCCGGACTATAGTTAAAAAAACAAAAAAAAAACAAAAACAAAAAAAAAACTATGAACAAATGCGGACACAGTACAGGAGATGACCAGAGACTGCTGCGGACATACAACGGCGGCGGGAATACTGCGCCGGACGCTCCATAAGACGCACAGACATTTCCCCCGAAGTGTGTCTTATGGAGCGAAATATATGGTAAATGCAGGACACCTTGTTGGTTCAGATCTGTGTACAATGTAAAGGGGGGAGGGGGGGGGGGGGAGGGGGGGGACGGGGGGGAGAGGAGGGGGGGGGGGGGGAGAGAGAGGGGGAAGAGAGAGGAGGGGGGGGGGGGAGAGAGGAGGGGGGGAGAGAGGAGGGGGGAGAGAGGAGAAGGGGGGGGGGGGAGAGAGGGAAGGGGGGGGGGGAGAGAGTGAGGAGGGGGGGGAGAGAGAGGGGGGGGAGAGAGGGGGGGGAGAGAGAAGGGTGGGGGGAGAGAGGGGGGGGAGAGAGAGGGGGGGGAAGAGAGGGGGGGGAAGAGAGGAGAGGGGGGGGAGAGAGGGGAGAGAGAGAGGAAGAGGGGAGTAGAGGGAGGATGGGGGAGAGAGGGGAAGGGGGGAGGGAGGGGGGGAGAGAGAGGAAGGGGGGGGAGAGAGGGGGGAGAGGAGGAGAGGGGGGGGGGGGGAGAGAGAGGAGAGGGGGGGGAGAGAGAGAGAGGAGGGAGGGGGAAAGGGGGGGGGAGAGGGGGGGAGAGAGAGAGGAAAGGGGGGGGGGGGAGAGGGAGGGGGGAGGGGGAGAGAGGGAGGGGGGAGAGGAGGAAGGGGGGGAGGAGAGGAGAGGGGGGGGGGTTAGAGAGAGGAAGCTTCAGAGAAGGGGGAGGGAGAGAGGAAGGGGGAGTGGAGAGAGGAAGGGGTGGGGGGAGAGAAGAGGAAGGGGGGAGGAGAGAGGAAGGGGGGGGGAGAGAGGAAGAGGGGGGGGAGAGAGGAAGGGGGGGGAGAGAGGAAGGGGGGGGAGAGAGGAAGGGGGGGGGGAGGGGGAGAGAGAGAGGAAGGGGGGGAGAGAGAGGAAGGGGGGGAGCCGGGAAGAGAGTGGGGGGGGGGAGGGGGGAGGGGAAGGGGGGGGGGGAAGAGGAAGGGGGGGGAGGGGAGAGAGAGAGGAAGGGGGGTAGAGAGGAAGGATGGGGGAGATGAGAGAGGAAGAGAGAGAGAGAGGAAGGAAGGGGAGAGAGGAAGGGAGGGGGGAGAGAGAGAGGAAGGGGGGGGGGGGAAGAGAGAGAGAGAGGAAGGGGGGGGAGAGAGAGGGGGGAGAGAGAGGAAGGGGGGGGGGGAGGAGAGAGGAAGGGGGGAGAGAGGGAGGGGGAGGAGAGAGAGAGGAAGGGGGGGAGAGAGAGAGGAAGGGGGGGGGGGAGAGAGGGGGGGGAGAGAGAGAGAAGGGGGAGAGAGAGAGAGGAAGGGGGAGAGGAGAGAGAGAGAGGAAGGGGGAGAGAGAGAGAGGAAGGGGGAGGAGAGAGAGAGAGGAAGGGGGAGAGAGAGAGAGAGAGGAAGGAAGGGGGGGAGAGAGAGGAGGGAGGAGATTGATCATCTATTGCACTTATCTAGGGTATGGCCGTGATACCAAACATGCAGCGATGGAGTCTCCTCTCTTGCTCCCCCTCTTCATGGTCAGCTCTAGGTTTCGCCCTCTGGCCGTGATGGTTGCATGCACTGATCAGAATAGATGGCTGGCTGGCTGCAGAGAGGCCAGGTGAGTGGTGCGGGTTCATAACCCGAGCCCACGTTCCCCTGTTCTAGAATTGCTGATCCCGCCCTCCTGCCTCCCGCCCGAGCTCTCCCGACCTGCCAAACCCTAGTCCCTTGCTTCGCGGCAGATACGCCCCTGTCCAGCGGGCCGGATAAATGTCCTTGGCGGGCCGCATGTGGCCCGTAGGCCGTAGTTTGAGGACTCCTGGTTTAGGCCTTTCATATTTACTTGCTACAGATATTTGTGAAGCAAAATAGTGCATGGGCTTTGCTGTTCCTTTCTAAGTCTGACCAGACAGAGATGTACTCTGTGGACAGATTCTCTATGTGGCTTACCCTGTCTTCTCAGCAGCTTTTGTGCCAACATAAATGAGATCTGATATTTCGGCACTAGATACAGAATCTACAAATCTGTATTTGAATTCAGCAAGGAACATATGGAAACGTAAAAATCCAATGTGTCAAAAATTACTTTTAGGGAAGTGATACATTTTATGTATAGTGATAAACACATTCAGACACATGCAGTAAGTGATATCCCTTGTCCAATGACTGTAGTAAGGTCACATTTTCTAGTAGGGATGCACCAAAATTTTGGTGGTCGAAACGTTTAGGCTGAAAACATCCCTTTTGGCCGTCAGCCGAAATTAAAAAAAAAAAAAGAAAAAAAAAAAAGAGCACTGATACAGGTGCTGAAAAAAAAACCCCGCCCCTCCCCCCTTGGTAGTTCTCAGCCTTACTTGAGAAACCAACGAGCGATCCCGGTGCTGGGCATAGAGGTGAGTGAAGGAAAGATGGCCTCCACTCATCTCTATGCCCTTGGAAGACCAAAGTGATGTCACTTCCGGTTCCAGCCAATGTTTTTTTTTTTTTTTTAAAGCACCAGATCAATGCTTTTTTTTTTTTGATCCAATGCTTTACATTACAGAGGAAACCCCATATCTCTCCATGAAGAGGACCTGTCACTAATTATTTCTATCACAAGCGATGCATGCATTTTTTTGTGATGAGAAAAGTGATTTTTTTTTTTTTTTTTTAAAGGGACAGTGCAAAAAAACAAAAAGCAAAAAAACCCCCATTAAATAAATAATACAAAAAAAAAGTTTAAAGTGCCCCCGTTCCCCCCCCGTGCTCGCACTTAGTGCTGAATGCATACGTAGGCCATGCCCACGTATGTAAATGGTGTTCAAACCATACACGCGAGGCATCGCCACGAACATCAGAGCAAGAGCAATAGTTCTTGCACTAGACCTCCTCTGTAACTTTACACTGCTAACCTGTAGACATTTTCAAAGCATCACCCATGCAGATTTTTAAGTACAGCAGTTTCACGCCATTCCATGAGCGTGCGCAATTTTAAAGCGTGACATGTTGGGTATCTATTTACTCGCCGTAACATCCTTTCATATTTTCCAAAAAATTGGAGTATATAGTTTTTTTTAATCAAAGTGTATTTTTTTCCCAAAAATATATATTTATTTTTAAAAACTGCGCATTTCGGTTTTCGGCCAAATGCATTTTGAATTTTCGTTTTCGGCAACAGAATTTTCATATAAGTGCACCACTACTTTCTAGCACTGCTTTTATAAGATTTCTAGATTGTAAGCTCTAACGAGCAGAGCCAACAGTTTCCTCTTGTACCAAATTGTATTGTAACTGTAATGTCTACCTTCATTTTGTAAAGCGTTGTGCAAACGGTTGGCGCTATATAACTCCTGTATAATAATAATTTAATTACATATTCTTAGTTATTTAAGATTTGATTAGATAGAGACAGAAAAATATACCAAAAACAAAGGAGTCATGAACAAAATGTGGAATCTGCCACTGCTACCATCTACTTGGTCATTATCAGGCTGTTAAGATGCTCTTGCACCATTGTCAGGGTAACTAAGTTTATCTCTGTCCACTTACCTGAGCTGGCTGGAAGCGATGGAGACCAAGGTTTACCCTCAAACAGGGAGTAAAGAGATGTCTCCTGTTGTCCAAAAGGTGGACATGACTCTGGCTTTGTGCTGCTGCATGGTGGTTTGCCATACACCTCGTTAAACACGCTGTTACTTGGGAACCTCTCCTGCAGAAGTCAGATTACAAAAAGGTTAAAGTACTAGATACAAAACCTGGATAAGTCTAAACATCTCCTGACTCCTCTAACACATGTCTCCAAATGCCCTCCCTTACCTGGCTCAGTGAAAATCCAGTAAGTGAGAGGAAAGAGGGGGGCTGGGATATCAGCTCAGATGGCTTTTCCAGAAGAGACTTCTCCAAAAGAAAGAGAAAGAGAATTCACTGCCAGATCCAATTATAGTGGCATGAAAAATGCAATCTGGTATTATTGCATAATCTGGGTGGGATTTAGTGGAAAAATGGACTTCACTTAAGACCATCAAATCTTGCCAAGGTCTCAGGCACTCACGTTATAGAGGATACCTGACCGTCGCCTATTTCATAGGTCATCATTGAAAACTAACATAGGTTGACTAAATGTAACAGTCCTACATTTATGCACACATTTACAGTACATATCTTTTTGGCAAAAATAGGTAAAGCAAAAAACGGAGGTAGAAAAATTCATTTTTGACTTACCAGAAAATTCCATATTTTGGAGTACAGAACACAAAATGTGTAGTCAGACCACAGGTTTCATACAGTTAACTTCAAGTGATTGGACATGGGCAAAAGCTTTGCTAGGAATGCCTCCCTCCCAGTTTGTACCAAGCAATAAGAAGGAACAGAGAAGAAAGGGACCTGTGTCCTGTACTGTACGCCAAGATATGGAATTTACAGAAAAATGTCCCATTACCTTAATCCTACAGTACAGGACGCAAGAAGTGTAATCATACTGAGCCGTCCCCAAATCTGGAGGCCATGATGTCCACCCCATTTCTACCAGAGCACCAGGAATATAGGAGGGTAAAGGACCCCTACCCAGAGTCCAGGCCTTGGCAATTCATAAAGTCTGCCTGCCAATTTTGCACTCCTGGTATATAGATGGCCAATAGCGTTGAAACGTGGTTCTCCACTTAACAGAGAATCAGGCATGCCTTGTTGAACGCTGCCTAACTTATGGTTCCCCCTAATTGAGTCTGGAATGAAACTGAGGGAAGGGGCCACCTCAAAAGGAGATCACTATGAGATCTAGAACCAACATGCAAAATTGAGTCAAGGAATGCCTTCGTTCAGTTTTGGGGACGTGAATAGGTTTAAGTAAGGCCGTTGTGCCTGATGTTGATTCAGGGAAGCCCACAAGTCTACCTGTCTATGAGGTGAAGCTGGTAGATTGGAGGTTATGAATCAAGGACAGAGCAGGGATATTTAATTTAGTAGAATCCACTACTGGAACAGATTGGAAGAAAACTCAGTAAAGAGTTTGGAAGCAAAAAATATTGTCGTTATTTGGCCAATCCTCATGCAAGCCACAGATAACTTACATGTGAAGATTAAAGGTCATTTTAGACTTCATCAGGAGTTTAAATCCTGTAGAATAATAATTAAGGCCTATAAGAGCTTATTTTGGCTGATTCTGGTGTTGTTAGACTAGGATGCACTGCATCATAAAATGCAGACGGTGAACAGTCCGTAGGATCCTGCATCCTTATCCTCAATTACTTATTCAAAAAAGGTTAGGAGGATCAAGGTCATATTCCTGAAAAGATTCAGGTGGCTGAGAGGCAGAAGGGTGCTTTTTGGCTTTGGACAGCGAAGGTTTCAGAAAGGCAGCGTTTCCAAAAGAAATCCGACAGCTGTAATAAAATCTGCTGTAGACAGATAAGCAATTTGCCACATGCCTGAAAGGGAGCTAGAATTAGAGCAAGAGAGCTGTGTTAATATTGGGCTTTGCTCAGGGCAGGAAATCAGCTATCACCTTGATCATTTTCTGGTTTCCTCTGTGCTGTCTACAGTCCAAATTCTTTTAGGCCCCTTTTTTCCATCTCCTCTGTGCTTTGTCTCTGCCACTGCTAAGTGGGGGGATATATAACACACTAAGTGAAATAACATCCCACAAGTAAAATAGGACACGATCACAAATACAGGAAAACCCTATCTAACCATATCCATGCCGCAGGTTCCCGAAGGGGACCAAACTTCAGCCTTCACAATGGCCATACCCCTGAAGGGGTCTTCAGGGTCTAGGTGCCATAGGAATGGACCACGGCCAAGGACTTATGCAATAAGCAGTTGGATCTTGATAGAAGTATCATTCGAAGTAGTGAAGAAAAATAACAGAATCGGTCAAGAAAAGAATAAGAGGTCCATCACCTAAGGATACTAATAAAAAAAAAACAAAAAACTAAAGTCCGATGGATTGGTTGGAATTATAGGAGGGTGCACTAAGGGGAATGTACCCAGCAAAGGTTTTGCCATTGTCCAAATAGCTTGAAGGTAGCTGCATATAACCCATGGCCTCTGAATACACATCCTATGATTGTACACCTCACAGACAAGACTAGGCTCAGAGCTTGAACACCACTGGACTAGACTGTGTTGAATTTCCTACACCTTTGACATCAGTAACACATTCTAACTTGTGAAGATCAAAGCAATTTGTTTTTATTTTAAAATGGTCTTTATTTATGAAAGTCTTGTTGGAGGAGAGGTTTTTTTTCTCATTTCCCACTGAAGTGCTGTTAACCTTTCTTTCCTACAATACTGGAAAACAAAAATTCCGCTGTTTTTCAAATGGAACCCAAAAATAAAAGGTCAGATTTGCCCAAGGCAACTGAATTACAGCGATCAGTTTCTCTTCTGACTATATTATGAGTGGGTATTACTCTGAGCTACACAAAAATGTTTACCTTTCAGAAACTTCTGGAAAATAAAGTCTAATGTGTATTATTCCACTTAGAAAATGTACTGTCTTGTGGAATTTGGTTTATTATATAAACCTGGATTATTAAATTGACCTCAGTTTAGATGTTTAATCCCCATGCCTGAACAGCCAAGTTACTGCTACCACCACAGGCCCAAGTTAGACACTACTATAAAAATAGAGGGATGCACTGAACAACTTATAAATGCCCCCATAATGTGAACCAATGAAGGAGAGAACTACAGAGAGTTTGTACAAAATCCTGTTAGGGGTATAAAAGCTGTCCACAAGGCAAAAAGGTTTCTTTTTAGGAGGCAGAAAACCATGTAAAAAGAAGAGGCATCAGCTTAGAGGACCGTGTGGGATCCAATTCAATTGGAGCTAGAGACACAGCAGTGTGACCATGGTATACATGTGTATGTGTCCATTTTATATTACCTCATCTATTATAAAATAAAAAAGCAGTACTTTAATATTCAAAATTATGTAGGAACACCAAGAATATCTACTGTAGCAACATATTTAAAAAAAGACAAAGATAGGAAGACACTAAGCAGCAGAGGAGAGAGTCCACCACATTGAATACATACAAAGAGGCTTCGTCCAGGAAGAGTGGCCAGAGGGCCGAGCAGAGCTGGGTACAGATCAGGAGGAGGGGAGAAAGCCAGCTCTTCCTCCTCCTCTAGAGCAGCCAGACTCTTTAACAGGTCCGGGGGCAGGAGAGGGGAACGCTTGGGTTCCTAGTAAGAGACAGGCAGAAAAAAAGGAAGGGAGAAAAAAGGAGAGAAAGCAGAAAAATAAAATGGAGAAAGTACGATAGAAAAAGTTATATAAAACAATAAAGAATATTTATGAAAGGAAGGGCACATTCTCGGGATAGAGGAAAATGGCAGCACAGTACAACTCCAAAAATAATACTTTCTATACATCAACTTGGAATCACCCTTAACTTCTAATATGGTAGCTGTCCAAGGTTCTTTGTACTACAAAGACTAAGATGCATCATATAAAGAAGCTGTTCAGCTCCACAAAAACCAGTCCAAGACAAGTATAACTTTATACAAGTCATCTTGCATTTTAACAGTCATTAAAATTGAAATTTTGACTTACCTATAAATTCATTTTCTTGGAGAACAGTACAGGAATTGTATTCTTAGAGCATTGGTTATATGCAGCTACCTTCAGCGGATGGGGCACTGGCAAAAAAAAAAAAAGGGCCACCCCCAAAGCACACCATTTAACGCTGACCACTTCATGAAGCTTCTTTTTTTTTTTTTTAGCAAGCAATAAGGAATGATGAAGAGACATATGGAATAGGGGCCTGTATTCTGTACTGTACTCAAATATAAGGAATTTGTAGGCAAGTCAAAATTCCTATTATCTTAATCATACAGTACACAACATTGTATTTTATGATCATAGGACGTACACAACCAATAAACTGTGGGGTGGGCAACAAACTAGGAAACAGAAGTGCCAACAGCTGAAGTACAGAGAGCATCCGGTTGAGTTCCTAAGGTGACACAGGTCATTAAATTGGAGGAGTATTTGTATATGTAACTCCCTGAAGAAAAATCCTGATGGGGAATTGCAAGGCAAGAGGTTTCTGGAATAAAATAGATAAAGCATATACCTGTCCCTTGAGGCTACTCAGGGCCAGATGCTGGTCAGGGAGAGAAAAAAGAAAGGCCAAAATAAGAGCGAGTATTCCTTGAAACTTTGCTTACTGCCCTTGCACCAAGCATTCTATGTGCGATGGTAAATCTTATGAAAGTTGGATTTTCTTGCTCTGAGTATTTTGGGAATAACAGAGTCAGACATACCCCTATCCTTTAGGACGTGGGCTTTAACAGCCATACTGTTAAAGCCAGCAACTAAGAAGTGCAATAGGGGGTCTTAGAACAGTAGATCTGGAAGAGGCCAAGACTAGACTATTCTGCCCAAAGTACAAGTACGTCTGTGTATGACATTCTTCTGGGCCAATTACGTGTGATGAGAATCACAAGAAAACTTTCCTCTATCTTGCACAGCAGTAAATGTAGGATCTTCATTAAAGGGAAGGAGAAAATCAGCTTGAATTGAACCCAAGGAATCCCCAGAACATCTAGTGCAAAGCTTCAAGGGTCCCTGGCCTTGGCTACAAATTTCTTCAGTCTGCTATTGAACCAGGAGCCCAGGATAAACATCTGGTTTTCACCAACTTTGACAGATTTTGAAAGATCTCTGGGAGATCACTCCCCTGGATCTGGGCTTTGGTGGCTTAGGAAGTCCACCAGTCAACTGCCCACTTTAGGGATGTGGACATCAGAGAGCTGAAATGTGAGCTTGCACCCAGGACAGCATCAAACGTGTTCCTTTTAGGGCAGCTTGACCACTGGTGCCTCCTTGATGGTTTATGTAGGCAAAGGCAGTGGCCTTGACTGACTAGACCCTGACTAGGAAGTCTAATATTGTAGACATAATTGGATGGCTCTCAGTTCCAGGATGTTGATGGGAAGACTTGAATCCTGTGGGGACCAGGTTCCCTGGACAGTCAACTGTACTGTTTAAGGGTACTGTAAACTCCTCCCAAAATGTAAGGCTGGCATCAGTTGTCATCACCTTCCAGGATGTGTGAAGAAGACGGCTTTCTTAATTCTAGGGCAGGACTGAAAATCCACCAGGTCAGGGAGAGCTTTGGCTGGCTGGCCAGAAGCGTGCTCCACATTGTGAGTACGTTTGATTAAAGAGTGAAATGGGAATGGGAAAAAAGAAACTGCCCTGAAGAAGGCTACCCTCAACCCTAGAACCATCATGCAGAGGCTAATTCAATGGTGGTGTTTTGACCTGAGGGTCCTTGTGTGGGACCCTTAGGGAGGCAACTTTCCCTGCGAGAAGGAAAATTCTGGCTTGAGCTTTATCCAAGTTTAGACTAAAATACTCCAGATCGTGAGAGGCCTTGAGTGCAGAATTTGGAAAGCTGAACCAGTGAAAGGATTGAAAAAGTGAATTGTCCTCTGGGTGTTGGTAGCCAAGGCTGAGTCAGTAGACGATTGTCCTGATAACCTTTGACATGAATACCCTAGGTTCACAGAAGAACAAGAAATGGGGCATGCACTTTTGTGAACACTTAGGGTACAGAGGAGAGCCCAAATGGTGGTGCTACAAATTGAAAAATGCAGAAAACAGTGATATCGGAAATATGTGAATAGGCATTTTGGATGTCTACTGATGCCAGAAATTCCTCTGGTCTTAAAGAGGCAATGACAAATCTTATCCATTTCAGAATTTTGGATCATAATGACAATCAATTTAGAGATGTAAGTTCAGTATTTGGCAGATGCCCTCATTTGATTTTGGAACTATGAATGGGTTTAAACAGCAACCTTGAAACCTCTCTCCATCATATCTAATTATTGTCTCCATCTATAAAATACCTGATGGCTTTCCAATAGCACCTTCCCTAGTCACAGCAATGTACCAGGGGAGTTTGAAGGCGATCAAGCGCCTATACAGCTTGGCATTTAACAGGTGGCTTGTTAGATTTACACCCATCCCCGGCTGCTATAGCTGTATGGCATATGTCAGTGGCAGAGAAAGGGTTAAGAGGGATTTCAAACATCTATCAACAGAATCCCTTTAAGAGGAAACATCCTTAATTAGGAACTGTAACTGTTTTTATTGAGAACTGAAATGGCAAAATCCAGCAATGGAACAATCCATTTCTTATTAAAATCTTTTTCCAAAGGATTAATAGCAGCAAAAAAATTAGGAGTGAATACATTTTCAGGATTTGGCCAGTCTTCATAAAGTGCACAAATCAGTGAGTGTATGGGAAAACAATCTTTGTGCAGCCTCTGGTCAATTAGTGTGTCCACAGTTGAGAGCATTTGGCTTTATGCCATAGCTTGTTCCTCACAAAACGCAAGGAAAAATTCCCTGCAAACGTTGCTTAAAAATCAGGGTTTTCAATACCTTCCTCCATCATATCCTCAAGGAAAGCAGGTTCTGCTTCTGAACCCTGAACATGATCAGGTCGAATAGAAGAGGTATGAGTTTCTGGCTTCAGGAAACCAAAGGTTCTAGACATGATGAGAAAATGGAAGCAGTGTCATGATAGGACATTGCTCCGGGATAAGGGAACCCTGAGCGGTGGTTAAAGTTTCCAGTAGGCCTTCTGACAAACGCATGCTATTCAACCCTTTTGACTCAGTGCTCCCTTGCCAATTTAGAGGATCACCAGAAGGGTGTCATAGTTAAGAGTGCTGAATAGATAGGGCTGTGCGTGTCTACATATAGCAGCCACTGTAACTTAGCCCCTACAGTGTTCCAGTGGTTGCGTCTGTAGAAAATGGCAGGAGTGCAACAACAGGCTGTGTGTGCTTTCATCAGAAGCACCACGCAGGATTAGCATCCTCCAAGAAGATGCATGCAGTTACCACATTCTCCTGAGACTATGGACAAAAGGAGAGAAACTGCCAAGTTTAAATTGTTTGTGCTGAAAAATGGCAGACAAAATGGAAGGGGTTACCATAAATGAAAAGCACCTAAATCCTGTCTATAGAACTATATTATACACTATGTTATACACTGTGACTGAGTTAGTAAAACCCAGAAAATGGTGTAAATACACAAAGAAATGTAGGTCCAGGCTTCCCCCGTCATGGGCATACTTCTGAAGGGGTCAGGGAACAACAGAAATGGACCACAGCCCTGGACCTGTAGAACACCCTGCGGTTAACCGTACATGTTGTGCTAAGTGCAAAGGTGAGTGCCTAACACAGGATCTAATGCCTGAAGCAAACATAACAGACTGGCCACAAACAGTGTGGTCTAAAACTACTAGATAGCCTAGGGAAGAAGATCTTGGTAGAAGCTCCAAAGAAAAAAAAAACTCATTTTCTAGAGAAAAAAAAAAAAAAAATCATTCTCCAGAGAAGATGTCCCTCACCTAAGGACACTTCACGGAGTGGATGGGGTTATATGGAGTGTTCAGGGGATGGCCCAAGCAATACTTTTGCCAATGTTCTATCACCTTAAGAGAGCTGCATATAACCCAGGGTTTAAAAAAAGGAAAAAAAAAAAAAAAAAAAAGTCCTGTACTGTAAAGGAAGTGTTTTCTTGACATATTAAGCCTATTTACACTTGTCTGTTGTTCATGCAAAAAAAAAAACACATGGGTATTAGTGTTTTATTCCTAGCCACGCGCGGTCTCCTGCATGGTAGGGGTTGGGGAAAGACCTGGCAACCTACCCTGTAAAATAATTGCTAAAGGAATTCATGGAAAAAGTCGCTTACGAGTGACAGTCCATGCAATCGCCGAGGGTCGGATATGACTGAATGGATAGATAGAGATTAGTGTTTTACAACTAGAAATCCCATTCTTTCCCACGTGACTGGTTTATATGTATGCACTGCCGTTTGGTGTGAAACAAAACTATGGGCCCCATTCACACCTGTGTGTGCGCACATTATTTTGTGCACTGCAGGGCACACGGAACAATGTGAATCTAGCCTTAGACCCTTCACCTCATCTTAAACTGGAACTCCAGCCTGCTTTTTTTCTATGTTTGGATAGTGTGGGGAGGTGTTGGCAAAATCTCATTGCAATCTGCTTACTGTTGAGGAAATGTTCCATTTCCTGTTCCAGTGATGGTGATCAATGAGGCAGAAAATGAAAGGAAATCTCCCCAGTGGGGATACAGACAGTAGTAAAAACTACTCCCAAACCCCCTTCAAGAGTGTGGAAAGGTTTAAAGTGATTGCAAAGTTGTCATACTTATCTGATCTGTGCAATGGTTTTGCAAACAGCAGCCCCGGATCCTCCTTTTTGGAAGGAAGCCGCTTCCTATGGTGGAACACATGCAGGCTCGATCCCTACCTGTGTCCACTGGCACACAGTGATGCTTGGCCCCACTCCCTGGTCACTGGATTTAAGTGACAGCAGCAGGAGCCAATGGCTACTCGCCATGAGGAAGGAAAGAACAGCAACACTGCTCTCGGGCACAGCGCTGGATTGAGATCAGGCTCAGGTAAGTATTTGGGGGAGCTGACAACAGAAGGTATTTTACTGAATGCAGGAAATGTATTAAAAGCAAAAAGACCTTCAGCCTTTTACAACCACTTTAAACCTCAAGAATTGAGAATTGGAGAGATTTAATAGATTTAATGCCTGTTCTGGTGACCACTGCAACAGAAAGTGGCAGGAATCTCCCCAAAAAGAGAGTTCACAGTCAATCAACTAAAAAGTTTTTACTGCAGTAAATTTTAAGTCTCATGCATGGCAGGATAACAGTCTGCTCCTAATAAGGATAAAGGATAAGACTGCGGACATTCTTTTGGTTCATAATTCTGGGATATAGCTAGTTGATATCAAGACATGGTTTAAAGTTGAAATTCAGGCAAATGAGAAAGGAAACTCGTTAATGCAATTATGTATTTGTTAAAAATCCTTTCATTTTTAAATGCAGCTATTTGAATTTGTTTTGATATGAGTCACCTGTAACCCCCTGTATCACACGTCTGAGACTGGGAAAAAGCGAGATGACACTAGCAGCCAATCAGGCCCAAATTAAAGTGCAAACAGTATTCTTGTGCTGTTCTTGTGTAACAACTGTGCTGTTGCAATCAATGTGCAGAGCAGTGCCTTCACGATCACAGGACTGGCTGCTTCTACATACATAACTACAGACCTGGAGTTCAGCTTTCAAAGGTTGACAACCTTTCATAAAAATTAATCAGGTTTGTGCAAGCATCCACAATTTAGCTCATGCATGAAGAAAGGTTTCAGCCAATTAGAGGTAAGAACAGTTTATACACTTTCTTCAGATGTAGACACTGAAGACGAGTACACACTTCCTTAGTTTGTGTCAGACTTAGGCCAGGGTAACAGAAGTCTGGCTTTTATACACTAGATGGCAAAATGTTTGTGGACACTTATACGAGCTTGTTGGACATCCCATTTCAAAATCAAACATTAACGCTCTTCTGGGAAGGCTTGAGAAGACCTGACTCGAAACTGGCATTCCAATTCATCCCAAAGGTGTTCAGTACCATTAAAATCAAGATTCTCTGCAGTCCACTCCACACACCCAACACATCAAACCCCTCTTTGGACCTGGCTTTGTGCACAGGGGCACAATCATGCAGGAACAGAAAAGGGCCTTCTCAAAAGGTTGGAAGTACAACATTGTCTTAAATGTTACTGAATTCTATGCTGTTCCCTTCACTGAAAACATCTGAACTCAATCATTTGTAGAGCATTCCACATACGTTGGCCATATAATATAAGGGATGGTCAAATGTCCACAAGCATTTGGCCACATAGTGTAAATCTTATTCTGCCATTATGAATTTATTTCGTACAAACGATTTAATCAAATCAGCCAGAAAAACATGTCAGAGAGTGTGAAAGTCCTGCCCTTGCATTACCAAACCCGGTTCTGTGCATGTAGGGAAGATAGAGAAATAAAGGAAAATTCACAGACATAAACTTAGAAAAAAAAAAAAAAAGGAGGAAGGTTAGGATGGAGAACGGCAGCGAGGAGTTTGATGGATCATGAAAGTTTTTCAGGACATGTACACATTTCTTACCTCAAACGGCAATCTAGTCACTGCATCCTGGCCTGTACGATAGCCAGTAGGCTGGCGATGGCTCCTTTGGTTATTAACAGACTGCTGTGTCATGAGGCTAGTGTCCGGTTGTCATTTAGACTGTAAGAACTTTGGTCCCCCCAGTAGAAGTCTGAAATCTTCATTTCGGCAGAGCCCTGGTTATACGTATCCATGGGAAAAGGCTTCACCTTCTTCTCCAGTGGCTGCTGCATGACTGGGTGCTGCAGGCACTGCTCCAGCATGCTCATAGGCTCAGTGGGCAAACGGCCCTCCATGAAGTAGTTCTGCTTCATGGTTGGTGGCATCAGTTTTCCCAGTGAGTTGGAGACTTGAGGATTGTTCCATAGCTGCTTGGAAGTGTCTGCTGCCTGTGGGTACTAAGAATAAGAAAGACTTAAAAGACGAAAGCAGACATTCAACCGCATGCAGATAGACTATACATACACATTATATATATATATATATATATATATATATATATATATATATATTTATTATGTCCAATTCATGCAAAACTCCAGGTAATCCAAAGGGGTCCACATACTTTTTCTTGCAACTGTATATATACATACATATACACACTTACACCACACAAATATATACACTGCTAAAAAAATTATTAAAAGGAACACTTTTTAATCAGAGTATATATAGTATCAAGTCAATTAAACCCCTGGGATAATGATCTGGTCAGTTAAGTAGCAGAGGGGGTCGATCAGTTTCAGCTGCTTTGGTGTTAATGAAATTAACAACAGGTGCACTAGATGGGCAACAATGAGATGACCCCCCAAAACAGGAAAGGTTTTACAGGTGGAGGTCACCTTTTTTTCCTACTCATCTTTTCTGTTTTTCACTAGTTTTGCATTTAACTAGGGTCAATGTCACTACTGGTAGCATGAGGCAATACCTGGACCCTACAGAGCTTGCACAGGCAGTCAGGATGGCACATCAATACATGCCATTGCCAGAAGGTTTGCGGTGTCTCCCAGCACAGTCTCAAGAGCAAGGAGGAGATTTCAGAAGACAGGCAGTTACTCCAGGAGAGCTGGACAGGGCCGTAGAAGGTCCTTAACTCATCAGCAGGACCGATATCTGCTCCTTTGCGCAAGGAGGTACAGTGGCTCTGAGGAAGAGGCAAGTCCTCGAAACGCGTCAGCCTTTTGGATGTCTAAACTCCCTATTGTGGACTGTTACTCAGCGCGGTGTTGATCCAGCTGTTCTTCTATGATGTGCCTTGACTATATTGTCGTTTGTGAGTACAACACCTACTTTATTTTTTATTAAACATTTTTTATGGTAATGCACTAGGCCTGTGCGCCCTCTTTTTGTTCTTTCCCCATACAGAATGAGCACTGCCAGAACCCTACAAAATGACCTTCAGTAGACCACTGGAATGAATGTCTCTGACCAAACAATCAGAAACAGACTTCATGAGGGTGGCCTGAGGGTCCGACGTCCTCTAGTGGGTCCTGTGCTCACTGCCCGGCACCATAGAGCTTGACTGGCATTTGCCATTGAATACCAGAATTGGCAGGCCCGCCAATGGCGCCACTCACAGATGAGAGCAGGTTCACCCTGAGCACATGTGACAAACGTAAAAGGGTCTGGTGAAGCCATGGAGAACATTATGTTGCCTGTAACATTGTTCAGCATGACCGTTTTGGTGGTGGGTCAGTGATGGTCTGAGGAGGCATATCCATGCAGGGATGCACAACCACTACAGGCTAGACAATGGCAACCTGACTGCCATTAGGTATCGGGATGAAATCCTTGGACCCACTGTCAGACCCTATGCTGGTGTAGTGGGTCCTGGGTTCCTCTTGGTGCATGACAATGCCCGGCCTCATGTGGAGAGAGTATGCAGGCAGTTCCTGGAGGATGAAGGAATTAACATTGAATGGCCCCCGCGCTCGCCTGACCTAAATCAAATAGAACATCTCTGGGATAGAATGTTTCGGTCCATCCGACGCCACCAGGTTGAACCTCAGACTGTCCAGGAGCTCAGTAATGCCCTGGTCCAGATCTGGGAGGAAATACCCCAGGATACTATCCGTCGTCACATTAGGAGCATGCCTTGACGTTGTCAGGCATGCATACAAGCACGTGGAGGCCATACAAACCATTTTGAGTAGCTGCAATGAAATTTCAGCAAAATGGACTAGCCAGCTGCATCATTTTTTCACTTCGGTTTTCGGAGTGACTTTGAATTCAGTCCTCTGTAGGTGGATAATTTTCATTTCCATTAAACGATGGGGAATCCTTACATTCCTAACACATTACCCAGTCCATATCAGTATAGAAATCCAACATGATATTTTTCCCCATTGAGATCTGATGTGTTTTCAAAGTGTTCCTTTAATTTTTTTGAGCAGTGTATATTACATAATTTACCAAAGAGTATGGTCAGCATTAGAACAACTACTACTATAAAGCACTACTAACTAAAAAGTAGTGCTGTCATAACAAACAAGCTTCTTTATATACTGCTAAATACTTTGACATTATATCTAGTAAAAAGAAAAAAAAAAATGGTTCTCTTTTTTAGTAACTTTAAAAAAGGGCAACTTCAGCTAACTTTTTTTTTTGTGGGCATGTGTATAATATATAATTTAAATATATATATATTTAAATATCTATCTCACACACACACTTGTATCATATGTTTTTTTTTCTGGCGTTTTGGTTGACATTCTGTCTTGATGATTTAAAATAAACCTATAATAAAAATTATAGGCCCTTCATTTCTTTGTAAGTGGGCAAACTTACAAAATACGCAGGGGATCAAATAATTATTTACCCACTGTATGCGCGCACACACACACACACACACACACACACACACACACACAGTTGTGCAAAATTATGGAAACACCAGGTAAGAACGAAATCGCTACCCAATATGGTGTTGGACCGCCTTTGGCATCCAGGATGGCCTGAATTCTCCTGGGAATTGACAAATAGAAGTCTTGGATTGTGGATAATGGAATATGACACCACTTTTCATACAAAAATTGTTCAAGTTCTTGCAGAGATGCCGGAGGCAGAAATTGAGCCCTAATCTTGTTTACCAAAATTGATCATAGTGGCTCTATTATATTGAGGTCCAGCGACTGCAGCAGCCAGGGAAGGTGTGAGACGTCATCTCCATGCTCGTCAAACCATGATCTGACAACACCAGCTTTGTGAATCAGAGCATTATCTTCTTTGTAAAATAATGTCTGCAAATGCAGAATATCAAGATATGGCTGCCCAAGCCATGATTGCGCCACCACCACGCTTTACCATTGGCACAAGACAGTCCTGGTTGTAAGCTCGGGACAGTGTTCTCCACACATAAACACGTCCGGTGGTTGGGAAGAGTATGAAGCTCGATAGCTTGGACCATATTACTGTCTTCCATTGATCGACAGTCCACGATTTATGGGTGTTGCACCACTTGCCCCTCTTCTGAGCATGAATATCATTCACTAGTGGTCTGGCAATTGCAGCTCGCCCATGAATGTTTTGCTTATAGAATTCCCTCTACAAAGTTTTTGTGGACATGGGCTTTGGAAGACTCAGATTGCGTTCTGCAGTCACTTTTGCAGCAGTTGTGTTCTTATTTCAGGTCACAATCCTTTGCAATGTCCTTTTGTCTCTTTTGCTCAGTTGACTATGTCGACCGCGTTTATGCTTATCAGACGACGGAAACTGTATATGTCGTCATAAACTTTGATACTGTACCTCGCAACACAGCAAATAAATTGGTAACTTTAGTCACAGAAGCACCAGCTAAGTGGGCACCAACAATTTACCCTCTTTGAAACTCAGTAAGCTCTTTTTTTTTATTAATCTTTTATTAAATTTTATTTCAATACATAAAACACCAGTATGCAATTTATCAAAACACAAACAATCCAACTAAAACATTTTTAACCCTCATTCCATCCCCCCATATCCCTCCCTACCCACTAAGTTACCCCTGTCCAGATAGTTCTTTCTTAACCTGTCTACTAATCACATTCAAAGCCCTATATTCTCTATTCACATAACAACTTTCCATTTATTCAGTTTAGTTCTCCAACTCTACCATCGGGGCACCCATTATTTCGAGATATTTTTCAGATGTTTTAAAAAAAATGTACCACCTGCTCCATTCTCTAAGTTTTTCCATTCTAGCTTCATCTATGTGGTATAACTCCTCCATCTTATTTATATACTCAATCCTCTCTATCCAACCTCTCATTGTTGGGGGGGGGGGGGGGTCCCGTGCCTGCCAAAATTTGGGGATTAAGCCTTTTGAAGCACTGATTAAATGGTATAATAAACTATTTTTGTATTGTTTCACTGATACCTCTTGTCCTATAAAACAGGCACACCCACAGATATTTTTGCATAGTTATCCCCCAAATCTCCTGTTTATAATGAATTACCTCTTTCCAATACCTCTTGATTTTTAACACTCCCACCAAATATGAGCCAGTCCCCTCCCCCCCCCCCCCCCCCCAACCCCTCTTATAATTCATTATTTTTCCGAGCACTTCTTGGAGAAATATTTCAGGATTCTTGTTTGGGCAGTAAATATTAACTGGCGTATATTAATATTAACCAGCGTGTATTTTTGTCCCTGTATTTCCCCTCTAAGGCCCAAATATCGACCCTCTGGATCTACCAGTTTTTCCTCAACCTTAAAACCCATATTTTTTGAAAATCCAATTGTGACTCCTTTGGCCCTCTTTATTGGTGAATCCGCATAATGCCAGTGTGGATAGTTCCTTGAATATAACTTGACGTTGGTACCATAAGATAGGTGTGCCTCTAAACAGACCACATCTATAGAATATTGGTGTACTTCCCTCAAAACTCTATGTCTTTTAATTGGAGAGTTTAAACCTTTCACGTTGTAGGCTATAATATTAATTCAAGCTCATATCTTTTTACTATTTCTCTTCTCCACCACTCCTACATTTACATGTAGTCAGGCAAAAAATATTCATTTCATGGACAGCTACCCAACCCCATCTCCTCCCGCACCTCTCCTCCTCGTGTCCCTCCCAGCCCCCCTTTCCCATCCTCCACCCCCTCCCTACCCATCTTGCCCATAAAAACTCCCTGGCCTATATACTGCCCTGGAATCTGATGCAGGTTTCCCCCACTAACGATTCCTATTTTAGAGAGTATGACTCTGAACATG